TAAGAATGAATATATATGTGCGCGGAGAACTTTCTAAAATATGGAGAAAATTCTCAAAACAGCTATCATAACAAGGCATATAAGACACAAAAGAAGCAGAAAATAAATACGACCGATATGTAAGGCTCTCAAGTTTTATAACATCATATTTTTATATGTGTCTTATATTAAATTAGAGTTAACAGTAATTTTCTCTACTTGTTAGTATGCATTCATTTTTGTCCTCAAAATTGGGATATATCAGAAAATGCAGTAAAAATGGTTCAATTGAGTGAGAACGAATTTTCTGTAAATGTTCATAACATTCCTATTAAAATATTTTAGTAGATTGTTCGACGCTCACCATTTAAGCTGTCTATACGAAGTACGAATTAAAAATAACTAAAGGCAGATGTTGCAAAAATGTTTTGAAATATCTAGTGAGGAATAGTTATTTTTTACATACTTATAAACGTCTGCATATATATTATCTAGGAACCATAATGCAATATATCAGAAATTTTCCCGAAGGGGGAATTAAACATATTATTGGCAACCATTTCACGGGAAAATGACACTTTTACGAAATATAGAATTAATATTCTCAATTTCTCCCCTGTTAAATTATGTTGTTACATATATAAACATCTCATTATATAATTTATCAAAAGGTGTGTATACATATTTTTGAAAACAGCCACTTTTTTTTTTAATTTCTGATGTATCAAGTGTATGTTTACATAATGAAGAAATTGTACTGTTTCTCAAAAGCTGTTCCTTTCAATAATACTAATTATGTTATAGTTTCGAAACGTGAAATATTGAACTTATTTTTTTTTTATTAAAGATGTAAAGACTCTATCTCATCCTGTACAATTTGGAATGGTTCTATTAAATATAAGGGAAAAAAAAAGCCACATATTAAAATTTTCAAAATACGTAAAAAGAAAAAGGTGTTATTTTTAAAAAAGTAATAATTCTTTATGAACAAATATTTCTGTTTTTCTCTGCCTTTTCCTTTTTTACTTGTAGAAAATTGTTTCATTTGATCGTTGCGTACAACATAAGTGGGCTTTTCATAATGTATTCCGAATTAAGTACATATTAAATATATATTATTACTTGTATAAAACAGTTTTATCTTTCCTCACCCCATGAAAATAGGTATTGGTTCATTTGACGAACATGGGGAGGGGGAGTATTTGATCCGTTGAGTGTTTTACTGACATTTTTAGTTTGTTTTTTTTTTTTTTTTTACAAAATAATTGCTTCCCCGATGATTTTTAACGAATAGAACGAATATAAGAGGATAAAGCCGATATATAAATAGAAGCCGCTTTGAAGTTTTTGGTCAGTTATATTACTCACGATGAAGAACAAATCCAATATATATTGATCATTTTTTTCCCTTGTCTTTATTAAAATTCATTAATGATGATTATTTACATTTAGTTTAAAAAAGTAAAGGCAGTTAATTTTCTATTTATTCCTTATGAAATACTTTTAAGCGAGCTTCTATTTGATTTTCCAAAATAATGACAGTCTTTTAATAGCACTATTATTTTAAAAGTTTCTTATGTTTTTACATTTCAAGCATGAATGAATTCTTAAAATGAATGTTTGCACTTATTTCTAGTGTATTATATAATCCGACTTCACTCAAGAACGATGTTAAAAAAATGAAAAGAATAAGATAAAAAAATTGAGAGAAAAAAAAAATGGCAAAAAGAAAAAAAGAGACAAAGACAAAAAGAAATGAGAACAAAAAAAAAGTGGAAAAGGAATAGAGAAACTTAACTAAAATGATAAAATGGCATTAACTGTCAAAATTGAAATGATTAGTAATATATTCTGTTATTAAGGACGATGAAAACATTCGAATGGGAGCAGTTTCGTCATATTATATAACATATACCTAAATAATGTTAATGCTTCCTAAATATGACACATATGCTACGCTGTAGATTTAGATCACATTTAATAGATTCATTAAAGGAGCAGAACACATTTTTAGCTGGTATTTATCTGGATAAAAAGTCCTATATTTATATAACTACAGGAGCAAATTTTTCTGACAAGAAGAAGTAACATATTGTGACATTTTAACATATGAAGTAATGGTACATGGGACAACAAGAGGATAGTCTTTATTCTATGGACTGATTGGTATGAATATACATAAAATGGTACATTTCTTCATTCTGACATAAAAATGTTACATGAGAAAGCACGCCATTTCGAGACAATCATTACATGATAAAAGTAAAGCTACTCATTTCGTTGTCTATTTAATGCTATAATATCGAACTCAAAAATGGACTGATTATTTAATAGAAAATCATTTAGTACATAGAGAGTATAGGAGTCTTTGTACAAAATTAGTCATATAAGAATAATTCCACCATTGCACCGTGGCTACCAAACTAATCTTAATTAACATAAACGGTGTGGAATCTTTCTTATAGAGCTACTACAAATGAGTCTTTTTAATTTTCTATTTGTGACGTTTGTATTAGTAATGCAGGATAAGTATGAAAAAAATTGCATGTGACTATTAGAAGTGTCCTCCTTCTGCTGTTATCTAATATACCGGAATCTCAGATATAGTGTGACAAAATGAGCAGACGTGTCCCTATGATTTACTCAATGTGAAGATGCAGACATTAAAACAGAAGTGATTTGTAAATGTGCTGATCAAGAATTTCAAGGAATTCGCCAAATATAGATATATATACATACGTGCACAATTTTGGAGATAGCTGTAATGTGTCATATCATGTTAAGAATTTACTCGTGTTATCCCAATTTATATGTCCTATGAATAAATTGACTAAGAAGGATAAGTAGGGGACGTGTACTTTACAAATGCACAATGTAGTCTCACATTAAACAGTTTAAGAGACAGAGGACTAAATAAAATGTCTTATTTCGAAGGAAAGAAATGAAAAAACAAATGCAGTGATACTATATCAGTCTCATGTGAATACATAAACGAACAGCCTCAAGAATGCAACCTATTCAAAATGGTGTATTACTCATTTGGTTATTTTTTAACGATTGTTATATTCTGCTAAAAGGGAAATATTCTTAAAAAATTAACTAAATCAGAGGTTAAAAATAAATGTAGATTGAGTCCCCTAGGGATTAATTATACATAGATAATATGTCCTGGTGACATCCAGATTAGGCCACCTTGTTGATTCTTATATGAAGAAAATGACCTGTTCAATTTTATTGATTTCTGCAGCTGTACTCGATACGTATGTACATAATAATTGAGCTGGCATAGGACTATTGAGAGGAACAACAGAGATGATAAAGATTTCACACTATATTATACCCTCTTTAGATTATCAAAATTGAGAAAAAACTTCTAACATAATGTTACACAGACGGAAACTGGTGTATATAACCCCCGCACATACCTCACCTGTAGGCATTAAATTTATAGTTCATCCTAATGGAGTACATACAGGGGTGCATTTCCATGGTTGTGTAAGAGTTTTGAGGAATATAAGAAAAAAAAACTTAGAAGAACAGTTCTTATTCCGTGTCGAAATGTTATTGAAGATTTTGTAGAAGACCAAACTCATGTTGTGCTGATGCATCCACCTGTATATTTCAGAAGCTGTCATCAATAAAAAAAAATCACAAATATAAGAAACCGATATTACAAAAGGTGTGTCTTGTCGAGTATCATCCTATCATATAAAGAGAATATTCAGCCCTGAAATAATATTAGATGTCGAAAGAGTGCGTAAAAATTACCATTTATTAAATGCTATCGTTTTATTTATTCTCTAATCGGACACTAAAAGTATCAGATGAAAAGTCGTATAGACAACGTATATATTACCAGGATGTTCCCATTTCTCGTCGCCAACGTCTACGTAACAAGCAATTGTACATACCAAAACATAGGCACACACATACATAGGTTACATAGGTCCTAACAGTATATATGAAGTAAAAGGGAAATAGAAATATCAATTTTGCAATAACCGTATAAATTCCTAGAAATAAAAGTATAAACGAATATTTTCGACATAAATGTTGCTTCAAGTTAAATCGTATGGCATCATTAATAGCGGCTGGCGCATTTGGATGAATATACAATTCACAAGCAGGACAGTTTCCTTCAAAGGGATCCCCTTATTGTGTTATTACCTATTTCATAAGCATAAAAGACTAGAAGAAACGTCTTCAATAAAAGACAATGACGTAAATATCCTCAAAAATGGGTGAAGGATATCTAAATGTCCATATGCCGAGTGCAAGTTCTTCTCTGACAAATTACACGAAATTTTGTGAGGCAATTTTCGAGGCACTTATACCGGACCAGAGATACCGCATATAGTAAGGAACCTAGAAGTGAACTAGTAAAATATAGTTTATTTCGCTGATAAGTATACGATGAGCACATACAAATTGTCAAATAATTCTTGTTAAAACTATTTATTTCCTAATAATCCTTGGAAGTAAAATATTTTATAGTTTTTACATCAAACAAAAAAATATATAATAAATAAATAGAAAAAGCGTTATGCAGAATTCGATTAATGAACTCATTAGTAAAAACTAGACACAGCGAATAAAAGTTATCACATAACCACAACAAAAAATACATGAGAATAAAAACAAAGGAAAGGATATAATATTATTCATGTATGTATAAAATATGACTTCTTCCTTTCATTTCATATTATTGTTATTATTAGTAGTAGTTGTAGCAGGTAGCGGCATTAGATTTAATGAACTATTCATCAAATAAACAGTCCAGAAATATAAATATATTACCATTATGCATTACAAAAAAATGAAATTATATTATTAATCATGCTTTTTACAATTAGAAATAAAAAAAATAATTTTCAATAGAAATTATTGAAAAAAGAAAAATTCCATCTTATCAAATAAGCTTTGTTTTGTATTATATTTTTAAATAAGGAAGTATCCAAATTTTTCTGCGCATTTAAAAACTCATATTAGAAATCTTTGGATAACCCCTAAGGAGACTTCCTTTAGTATTCACTTGGTTTTCTCAATTTCCCTTTTGTGTTAAAGCGTTTGTAACACTCCTTTATTTTGGAAATTTTCCACAATTTATATAAATAGTAAACTATCATTGTAAAGAATCCGATTGACCAAGCTGCTATGAATTGATAGGAAACTAAGGATTTAAATACAAGCATTAACATTATAAGAAACATGGTTACAGTTGGTGGTAAGTATATTTTAAATTTTTTCATAAAGTGTTGGTATCTTCCTTTTAGGGTTTTATATTTGCATTCATCATAGTCAGAAAGACATTTATCATTCACTGAACGTAATAATTCGACTTCAAATTGTCGATCAAATTTTTTTAAGGCTCCCAGGATCCCACCCTCAGATGGCTCTCCTTGTGCAGAAGCTTGCCTAACCATTTCTTTAAGAGTTTCTAAGTTTTCTTCAACTTTGTACGTGAATTGTATAGGTCCAGTTGATTGTTTGTTTTTTCGTTCAGATGTTAATGATTTATGAGAACTTCTGGATTTATCATGTCCTTCGAATTCAATGGCTGATGGTGTGTTGGAGGAAGCTTCATCATCATAAAAACAGTCGATGTCTAAGGAATCATTAATTCCTTTGGATTGTTCTTGTAGTGCTCTCTTGAATTCATTTATACTACTCATATCATCAGAGGATGCATCTAAATTGCGGTAGCTTTTTTTTCGGAAACGGTCCTCATGAATTAGGTTGGTAAAAGGGTTTCTGAATACCTCACCGTGTGTTAAGTCGTATATTCTTCCAAAAGAATCATGTTCTTCGTTCAACAGATCAAGGACCTTATTTTTTAAATATGAGTATTGACCTTGTTGTGGGGTTATTATGGGGGAGTCCCTTGTTAACAATCTGCTGACTCTGACCGCCTTTTGTTTGCACGACCCCGTCTCCCATGATTCAAGAAATGTATATGACTAAAAGGGTGAAAAAAAGGGTGTTGAAGGGTTTATGGTATATATATGTGCCCATAACATATATGTCCTACAGAGCAACAACGGGGATAAGAGATTGTACGACGAGGAGACATATATGTAGAAATATATTAGCTCCCCAACGTATGTCGGGAGAATGGGGGATGAAGGAACATCGAATGTTAAAATATAATATATATTTTGCTCAATTCTAATTTTTGCATAGCAGTACTAAAAGGGAACATGTGAGAATTTTTAAGAAAACGGAAAATTTTCTAGTTCGTTGGGCCATGTTGAATAAAATTTATAATAGTTCGAATGATACAGAGTATTATAGGAAAATTTAATAACTCGAATGGATTATTCTTATCAAATTAATTAAATTGATACTTTTTTCCTTTTTCGTAAAATTTTGCTTCTTAACACTTTAAGGGGAAAATGTTTTTACAATGCTTTCATTTAAGTAGTATTTTATATTATTAACTGCAAAAAAGTGCTACTATTTATTATTGAACTATTTTTAAATAGATATTAAGCAGATATTAAAAATAAATAAGTTGAAAAATTGTTAATATTAATTAAACCTTTGCTGTTTCTTTTATTAGTCCCCCCCAAAAGGAAAAAAATATGTATACAAGAAAATTATTTCTTACACGTAAAGTGCGAATATATTAGTGCACATAAATGGGTATATATAATGAGGAATAAACTATAAATGAAATAAAATAATAACAATAATTTATATATATTTTTGAGAGCTAAATAAAAACTAGGAGAAATTTTTGTTTTACACAATGCCTTCACCAGTTTCGAGGTGACAATTGTGTTTTTCTAATTATCTGAGATCTTTCGTAACTTTCATACTTGTAAACACATTTTCGTTAATACATTTTATTAGAAAGAAAGGAAAAATAGATTACCCCCAATTTAGTAATTTGATAAAATATTGCAAAGAGAACAAGTTATATCAATTGACAACGTAGAATATTTTTAATGTTTGTAAAGTTCATCTGCTAGGTGTTCGGGGCTCCTGAAATTTACCCACCTTTTTATTGGGCATTAAATACAGTGCGCATATTTTTATGCTGTAATTTTACATGTGGATTAAGGATGAATAAATATGAGATTTCTTTAAATAATTGAATAGCGTCCTTTTAGTATATAGATCTGGAATATTCTGGAATATATATAATCACTGTGACTTCGACTAAAATTTTAATACTTAAATGAAGGATAAATTAAGTGATGGGGAATTGGAGGGGCTTTTTTAACTCAGCGGATTAGCTATACAACCATGACTTAAAGAAAAATTCCCCCTGCAATTTCCAAGTAAGAAAATGGTTCTTTATGTAAGAAGAAAAAAGTAAGATCGAGAAAAAGAAGAAAGAAAGTATAAATATATACATATAACATCCTATGTATGGTATGTAATGTTCATAATGCATTTAGAACGATAGAGGACAATTATATTTGAAAAGAACTCTGTAATGCCCCTGAATATAGTTTTAAGATATATCTAAAATTTTGTCGTGCGGAATGCAAAAGAATGTTATGCGTGTAGACTGCATATATTGTATATAATATATGAAACGAAAAAAACTGCGACATTAATAAAATATAAATCTACTAATAAGTTATACAGACTGATGCCTCACACATACACTGAAATGGAAAGAAAAAAATTATTAGATGATGTAATAAGAACTCACACAGAAAATACATAGGACGCCGGTCGAATATATTCTAAAAAATGTAGAAGCAACAAGGTGGTAGGTACTGTATTTCTATACATCACTTTTATTATTAATATTGACGCTGTTATGATGTCTTTGTAGTATATTCCTAAAAAAGAGATACTATCAGTTTTTTGCACTACGAAGCATTTCTGAAGGAGTAGGGCGGAAAACAATCAATGCGCTGGGAATTTCTCCTTTATGTATTAGACCTCATATGACCATAAATTTTTGCCGACATTGGGACCCTCCCCTGCATGTATAATGACGCCGTATGTCCATTTGCAAATGTCAGTACTTTCTGCCTTAAATTGTATGAACGGTATTCTTATTTAATTGTACATTTGATGAATCATTTTTCGCAGTGTTTTTCCCATCTTTTGTACTCTTATTATGTATCTATTCATCAAAAGGCCAACCCGAGTATCACTGTGACGCTATAGATTGTAGTACTATTTTAGTCTCCTAAAAATGATTTTAGACCAAAGTAGATGGAGAGGTTCTGTAATTTTGTAACATAAGGAAATGATATTTCTGTATTGAATTCGATGGCAACATTATATTTCTTTCAGTGGTGGGCGAATTTTGTACTGATGCACACAGAGGCGCTATCTTCATAATTCTACATCTCAGTCTCCTAATTTTCTTAAATGTGATAAATTGTATGCTTTCTTATGTGCGCAAAGGGTTTTACAAGATATTATCGTGGGAAAATTATTAAACGTTTTTGGATTTTTGACCAGAAAATTTGGTTGGTATTTTGCATATTGTTATGAATGGGTCTCAGTCCTTCACCTCCTACGGATTAAAAAGGGTTGGATGAGAGTCTCCCCTAAGATGGGGAGTTCATTTGTTAACAGGTAGGAACGTTTATGCATGTGTAATTTTATAAACATGCAAAACGATGTACAATTCGGACAAGCAGGGGAGGAACAGTTTAAGTTGCGTCAGGATATTCGCATATTTGGTGATTCAGGGTTAATTCTTTTTAGGGATATGATCCATTATAAGCAGCAACGGAATGTTTAATTCGGGTGTACTTTGTACTCACGGTTGAGTGACCACTTCGCTCCGTGTCTATTGATGTCAAATCAACACATCACACCTATTCGTAACAATCTCTTCCTTTACAAGTGCTATAAAAACAAGGTCCAAGTAGATGCATGAACCAAGGGGGGTTATTTAGAATATATTTTTCTATCATAATTCCTATGTTATGTGAAAAATGTCCCAAGGGGAAAAATATGCGTTCCTCAGAATATTAAACAATCCCCCCTGTTAATTTGTATGCCTCCATTTTCCTTATATGTTGTATTGGCACAATCGTTGCCTTCTGTGAAAAATATATTACGCGTACTGTTAATATCAGTATCGACTGTACCTTTAAGTACTTTACGCGACGCGTTTAGTTGGTGCGGCGGAGCAAAAAAGGGGGGACAACACAGAATAGACTAATCAGAAAGGAATAGTGATCGCGAATGAGTGCGGGTATTGTTGCATGTTTAAATCGCTACTGCATCATGAATCACTCTACTGAGGAGTTATCAAGTCTCGAAATACGTTTTATAAGTTTCAAGTGTCATGCTTTAGAGCGGTGGCAAGATTTAGGAAGACATAATTTAGAATGAACTGCCTCCCAGCAGTTTTTTAGTATTACAAATGAAAAAGGGCAGAAACATAGAAAAAAGAAAATAAAAAAAAAGAAAAATACATATATTATGTCCAATACTAAAACGATCTTACAAGAGCATATTACGCCCTTTTACATTTCTCTTTTTAGAGATCATTCAGGAGGATGTGCACCTTATAGGAAATCATGGATGATGGAAAATTATTTCTAACCTCATGGAGAAGTGAGAACTTTTTTCTACAACTCATTTGATCAGGTTTCTAATGATATTTTCATGGGATGCTAATAATTCTATAGCAAAGAAACAAAGGGAAAAGGAAACTGCTTATAAGAGCCTGAAGTAATATATCAGCAGGCAGTTGTGTGCTTAATAAGTAAATATTACTTATGAAAGGCTCCTAACTGGCATTGAAGAACAGGATATAGAGATTTATTTGTCTATAAAGTAGGTGAAATCTCCTACAAGGGTTTTTAATTGTCTCGAAGTGGATAAGACAATTTCGTAATGTTAATTTTCAGTATCTCGCCACTACAAATTTTTACATTTTACGGTATGTGCAAAAAACACATCTCCAAACGAAATAAAGGGGGATACTTCCCGATATAAAATAATTATAATTCTGGTAAAAGAGAATCTAACAGCAGTTATCCCTTCTGAACGAGTTAATAAAATAATATATGGAAATTTTTTCTCCAGACGGGGTTAAGGCGGTGGATAATAGCTAAATCGTGACGCATACTACAATTGATTCATAACTTTTTATAAGCAATGACATGTAGAGAGACGAACACATTTGTCATTTAAAAGCGCGGAAAATTATTTTATATTAATACCGCTGTTCTTTATAGTATGCTTCGGCAATACATGCTGTCACTGTCTATTTATTGGAATGATACTTAATTGATATATAATCATTCATTCGTGCAAGCATAAAAACATGTGCTTCTCATCTTCGCATTAAATAGGAGTCACAACCACTCATATTTAGAGTAATAACGAGTTGAGTAACTAGATCTTGGTCGTCATTCTTAACCTTCATGCAAACAATTTCGTGTCCATTGTGTAAAACATTAGTTTTTGATAGAAATAATTAGCGCGAAAGGATTAATGTAAGACATCGCCAATAACCTTATAGGGATACTTTACAACCAATTATTTGAATGATAATAATAATCAGAATATGAAGAACATGCCGAGAATTAAACCTTACATTGCAAGAGTAGAATTGAGAATAGGGAATAAAGGAATGTGGAATAAAAAAAGATACATTTTTCTGTGATTACGAAACATTTTAAGGGGAAGCAATCTTATTTTTTTTTTCTTTTTAGTGGTAAGAGAATCAAGTGTAATGATATGATGTGTGTGAATTTTATTTTTTACCCCTAAGATATTTCTAACTCAGCATTACCGGTTAATTTCAATTTGGCGTTCATAACAATGGTATAAACCTGTTTAACAGATGAATTTATTAAATGAAAAATGTATTGTCATCATCTTATTTCTATTATAACATATTCATATATTAAATTAACATGTGTGTCTGCAGATGCAGTAATAATGGTCTCTGTTGTGTACTTATTTATGTTCTATTAAACCAAAAAAAAGGAAGGTCGAGGAGTGAAACCCGTTTTTTCTCGAGAACGTTTTACCTTTTTTTTCTTTTTTTTTTTTTTTCATATATTCATAAATATATTTTCGGATATATTCGAACTGAGGACAACAGGAGATAGCAATTGCAAAAAGGACAATACATCTTTGGAATTATACATAATGTCATTAGGTTTTTCCTTCTTTTGTCTCTACAAATATGTACTCTAAGTGTATTCCCTATGCTATGTATCTGTGTATGTATATATAGGGCGTAGTCAAACGTTAACATATAAAAAAACCAGGAGGAAGTAAAAAAATGAAAGGAGTGGCAAACAACCAGGAGATTTAAAAATAGTTATGCGAAGAACCAATCAACGAGGGTTTCTTAATTAAGAACACAGCTGTGCCAATGACTTATGAAGTAACTTTCATTTTGTATATATGAAAAAACGAAATGCGCTAAAAAGACTTCATTTATTAGAATGAATTGTATATTAACCAGGCAAGAAAGGTCAATACCCATGATTCTATATATACTTGAATATAGGAAGGAATAGTTGTAATTTCGCTCGGTTGCACTGATTGAAACATGTGAAATGGGGCGGGGCACACTAAGCAGAAACATAAATTACAGTTAGAAGATGCTGTGCATAAAACTAATACAATAAATAACTGTCTCATACTCCTATACAACAGATATAGAAACAGCAGGGATACTCTCCTTGTTTTGTCCTTTAAATATATTAAGAATATGATGAATATTCCAATTAAGAAAAAAATAAAGTAAAATGAACGATTGACCGAATGAAGAATGAAGAGATATGTTAGACTATAAAATATTATAAATAATAGAAGCTTATAAGAAGATGGAACTTTATAAGGAAAAGGGACGTTACCAAAAAATAGGATAACTATAAGAAGATACGAAACTATAAGGAAATAAGACGCTATAGAGAAATAGAGCGCTATAAAAAAATAAAACCCTATAAAAAAATAAGACGCTATAAAAACATAAA